ACATGGCTATGGAGATTGCATTGTTGTTGAGTAACATGTTGCATGTTTAATGTGTATTCAAATCCGGTACTTAATGGGGGTTATATAGGGGACTATTATAAGGGGATATTAAGGGGGATACTAGGAGTTTATAAATTATATAGGCTGGTCATTCCCATAGCAGTTCCACCATATCCCAGGAGAGGGCTGCGCACAAGCAGGTTCTGCTCGATGATGCCTCAGGCGCCCTCGCAGAACTCGTCAGTGTCCCCCAGATCTCCCAGGACTTGCAGCCCAAATCCCCGAAGCAGATGGCTGCTCAGGATGTCGATGCAACGTCCAGTATCTGGGTTGAAGGTTTGGGCTTTAGGGATTAGAGTTTAGGGTCTAGCGTTTCAGGGTTTGAGGTTTAGAGTTTAGGGAGTAGGGTTAGGGGCTACTTGGGTTGTTGTTGCTGGGAAACGCTTCATGTTGTTAAATTCTAACCCAATGCCCGACTGTAGAAGGACAAGGGATGCGTACACCGTACCCCAACAGCTTACTCACAATTAATCAATTGGAAAAAGGGATGGGATTCCCTCACCTATACCATCCCCACAGTCATGCCTCTAGCCCATGCTCCGTATTCCCAAACCCTATGTACCCTGACCCCCATATCTGCACCGTACAGCCTTTACCCCATACTCTACACCCAGAACTGTCAACCCTAACTTATTCAACCTATAAAAGGCACCTCGAGCACCTCCAGCGGGTCTGAGCTTAGCCCGCCAAGTCCTGCAAAAAGCGAAGAGAAGGAATCCGCCGTTGAAGAGCCAGAACAGTGGGCCCAGGAGGGGGTTGAGGATAGTCTCTGTAAAGAGATGCTACAGGGGTATGTGGCTGTAGGATTCAACTACCCAAAGTGGGGCTGCCCTGGAAACATTGGGGATGAAGGGGGATTTTGAAGGGATTTCAGGCGTCGATTCTTCACCTAAATAGTAGCTTCCATTTTCCTATGTAACCCCAACATACTATTGTAGTTTCCATTTTTTTGCCATTCTCCCCTATATAATACAGGGTGTTTTGGGGTGATTTGCAGACATCTGCAGGAGTGGAGCAGCCTAGCAGAGCACTGGAGCGAAGTTTCAGGCTTGCTGGAAGGAACCTGGAGGGGACCCAAAAACGAAACCTACACTCTGCAATTCAAGGAGCCCTCGGAGGATGTGTCTCAGTGGTGGTTAGTAGGGAATCCCCGAATAGGGATTTTCCTGGGCCGTGTAAGGGTCACTATATCGCAGTGCTTCACTCACTCAGGTCCGTACGTAAGCCTATATAGCCCCATGTAAACCCCAATATGACCCTGTATAACCCTATATAGCCCCACATATATATGTATATGTATACATACACATAAATAGACACACACGTACATATACATATACACACACATACATATATACATATGTGTATATATATATATATCAGTCCCTCCTCACCAGCAGTAAGGTGGTTTGTGGCCACTGCACACGGTTCCAAAGCTCCAAAGAGAAGATCTTCTCCGTCCGCTACGAGTACGACAGCTGCTTGTTATTCTGGGGAACCAGTCGCAACTGGGTTGTTGTTAAGGCACTTAATTTAAGTTACTATAGTATTCAAATGGAAAAGAAAATGGAACATGAAACGGAAACTGGGGCAATACAGGGATTTAAGGAATTTAATTTGAATTACTAAATTTCGAAACCCTTTATACCCATTATGGTAACTTAATTTAAGTTCCCTAGCAGCAACTCAGGCAAGTTCTACTTGGACCCACTGGAGATCGGAATGCTTGAGCCACCAAAAGCACGAAGCTGGGCTGCTGTTAAAGCATGTCGGTGCTGGAGCTCAAAACCAGCTATATATTCTAAAGTCCACCCGCAAATCCGATATAATATAGCCCTATGATGCGCTTAGAGTTTTTCTAACACACCTAAACCCTAAAGCCTAAGCCCTAAACCCTAAACCCCTAAAAATCTGAATCCTAACAGGCGGCCCAGAATCGCTTCGCATGTGGTGCCCGTGTATCACTAATTTCCCGTGACTGCAGTTGAGGATGGTACGTGGCCGGGAGGGACGAACCCGAGTTTGACACTTTGCCGGCTTAACGCTGTTGGCCTTACTATAATATAGTAATTACAACATACTAAAAGATACTCTAATATACTATACTATACTATACTATACTATAATCTGCCGTTCTTTTGGGCGAAAACTTTGTCAACCTTACGTTCTCTCGTCCCAAGGTTGTGGTTCATATAGATAGAAGACGAGTCCCAGACAGACCTTATTTCAGGGTGTCCAAATTCTGAAGCATCGCCCGGTTTTTCCAGGATTCTAGGATCTTCCTCTTGGCACTTGGGGTTTGAGGGTTCCTTTTTGGAGTGGGAGTTTGAAGGGCATCCAATTCCATGCAAAGCGCTTGTGGATCCTGACGTGGGGCTCACATGAATGGGCTTGGCGTCCCAAAGGTCTGCTTTCCGGCCCTGTTTGTTTTTGATGGTGCCAACCAACTGTAAATCACAGAGCCCCTAAAGCAGTAAACCTCTAAATCCCCCATGCTCACCTTTAACAACCTGAGTCTTCCAAGGAATGGATTTTAAACAATTGGGGAAAAATATTTTCCCCAATTGTTTGGTACTTACCTTTAACAACCTGAGTCTTCTAAGGAATGGATTTTAATGGATGAGGAGCCTCCGGAGGAAACAAAGCAGAAACCGCCAGAAAAGAAGGCGGCTCGCAGACATCGGAGGCAACCAAGGTGCCGCAGACGAAGGAAACCTGTAGTCTCCAATCTAGAGTTTAGGGTTTAGGGTTCAGTGTTGTAGTAGTAGGAGAAGTAAGATTATGTAGTCTTGTGCTTCTAGCATTTCACAGGGCAGATAGTTTTGTTGGGTCCAACCAGCAGCTAAACCACAACTGGCTGGGGTTTAGAGGACTTTGGATTAGGGCCCTTTGGAGTTCCTAAACCCTAAACCCTACAACATAAAATCCTCACATTTTGCTTGGTGAGGCGTCAAGGATGAAATGTCCGCCTACCTTTGCAGGCTCCGCAGCCTGGAATTTATATAATATAGGGCTTTTCAACCACAGGGGTCCCTTTCTAAGGGTACATATGGGGATTTCCCAACATTAGGGGTACCATTTTGGGGATCCCCATAGTAAGGACTATAGTATTTTGGGGTCTATATTGGGGTCCCCCTATTTTGGGAAACTACCATATAACAGGGATTAATACCTTCCCCTACATTCTGCACCCCTTGATTTGTGGGGGTAGAGGGGCAATCAATAGTGGGATGAACCAGTAATTCTTCGGTGCGCATTGGGACCCCGTGCTTGAGAATGCCCATGTAGAGCGTGGTGGCATGGGCCACAGTCGTGCTTTCACCGACCGAAGTGGTCGTTCTTTCCTGATTTAGGGTGCTGCGAATGGCAATCGTGCAAAGACCCTCTGCATTTGAACTCTGAACCCGAAACCCTAAGCCCCAACAGCCTGTCAGTGCCTTGTCGCATAAGAATCTACTTGAAGCTTCTTAGGTTGAGGGTTAAAGGTTCCCATAGGAGGGTTCAGGGATTAGGGACCCTACATGCAGGTTCGCCAAAGTGGGGTTCTGGCTACCGGAATCCGGCTTGTAGCTAATGTTCCTCGTAATCTTGCCCAAGCGCCCATGCGCAAGCAGATGAAGACTTCAATAAGGGATACTATCCCCCGCATGTTTTAAGCAGAAGGGAATCCTACTTCGTTCAACGACCGATAACGCCTGAAGCCCTAAAACCGCCAAAACCAGACACATTCCAAAGTGCCTAGGGCATCTCTCTTCTGAGGAACACCTAAACCCAAAACGCCACAAATAAATGTCCTAATACCCCGGAACTGTGCTTCACCAAGCATCTCCCTTTCGCAACTTGGCTGAGCGTCCGCTTCTGCGTACGCCCAACTTGGCTCAAGGCCTTCCCGAAATAAGTTTTTAGGTTTAGGGTTTAGAGTTTAGGGTTTGGTAGCTTCCATTTTATTTTCCATTATCCCAATGTAACCCCAATATATAGTAGTTGTAAGAGACTCTTAGTTAGTATGCATTTTTTGGGGTTTAGGATTCAGGTTTCAACGTTCGGGAGCTGAAGACTGGGGTTCTGCAATAGTTGAATATCAACTAAGAGTCTTCTACAACTACTATACTATATAGGGGTCATATTGGGATAATGGAAAATAGAATGGAAGCTACTACATTATTTGGTATGCCCTTTCTCAAAGAGATTTCAACTCCGGGCAGCAACGAGACAGCCCGCGCGGTGGCCCGAGAGCCTGGGTTTCTCCGAATCACGGGCTCCGATCTTTTGCCCATCAATTTCGTTGAACCTAGTCTAGCAGTTTCCATTTTATTTTGCATTGTCCCTATATTACCCCAATATCACCTTAATCTTGCCCCAATATAACCCCACATGACCTATAATTTCGTTGAGAAATTCCCCCATGTTTTGCCAGCGCCCACATTGATTGCCAGCAGGGTTCCAGTGAATGTCATTGACCTTTCGGCCCAGTCAGTGAAGCGTGGCCCGCTCCAAGTGCACATGTCCTAGCCATGAAGCGCGAGCCTGGGTTGCTGTTAAGGAACTTAAATAGGGTTTAGGGTTTAGGGATATTATCCCCCTACAATGGAGAATCAAATGGAAAAGAAGATGGAAAATGAAATGGAAACTGGCGGAATCCAGGGATTAAGGAACTTGAATTAAGTTACTACATTGGGGAAACCCTATTATTTACTATATATACCCATTATGGTAAGTTAATTTAAGTTCCTTAACAGCAACCCAGGATTATGACCACCTGTTCAAACTCGTGCTGATTGGCGACTCAGGTACAGGCAAGTCATGTCTGCTTCTGCGGTTTGCAGATGACGCATTCACAGACAGTTACATTACCACCATCGGTGTTGATTTCCGCTTCAAGACAATACCCGTTGAGCAGAAGACAGTGACTTACTGGCGCTTAGCAGGGAATTTGAGGAATGGATCATGGATCCTCAAGAAAATCCTTGCTTCCATGCCTTTATTCACTGTCCGCTTCAATCCTAAATACACAGTCAGCAGTGGTGCTTTTGGTTTTTCGATCCTTCATTCCCTACGAACCACCTATACCCTACACGAGTAAGGTGAAGCTCCAAATTTGGGACACTGCTGGTCAGGAGCGGTTCAGGACCATCACCAGTGCATACTATCGAGGAGCTGATGCTTATCAGGTGGTCAGTCATAGTGGGTTATAGGGGGATATAGGGGCATATAGGGGTTACAGAGGGATAATGGAAAAGAAAATGGAAGCTACGATTCAGGGTTTGGGAAGGGACACAAAGCCTTTAAAGTTTGGAGCTTAAGGTTGGTTCAGGTGGGCAATGGAAGCGAACTCGGAAGCCTAGAGACCCAGAAGAAGATACCCTAGATAGTAGTTTCCATCTTTTGCATTATCCCTATATAACCCCTGTATATGATCCCTATGTAATCCCTATATTCCCCCTAGCTACCTATCCTTACAGCAGCCCTGCACAGGAATCCAACAAGTCCCTCCCCGTCCCTACTGACCACCAGTAAGGATGGCATCATCTTGGTCTACGACATATGTGACCGTGAGTCCTTTACACATGTGGAAGAATGGCTGAATGAGGCCGCTAGTTTTGCAAAATGCTGTTGGGTCTCCCCTGCCAGGATCTTGAATATCCTCGAAACTTGAGGCATTAAGGGGTGCGTGCATACTCCACAGCCTGTCCCGCACAGTCCCCACATGAGTGTGAGTTGAAATCATGTTCGGATATGCAGTGGACAGACATTCTGACATAGCACCCTTGGAAGTGCAAGGTCAACAGATATGTGAATGAAAGCACCTCCAAAATTCTCTTGGGCAACAAGTGTGACCTGACAGCGGAGAGGCTTGGGGGTGTAGGGGTGTAGTCGAGATCAGAGCTTGGGTTTAGGTGCCGGGGCCCCTGCTTGGAAGGATGAGGGAGATTCTTGGAGCAGAAGAGCTTTGATCATGGAATCATGCTGCGGTTCGCGCTATTGCTGTTATTAGATGTTATTAGCTACTGTTGTTTCATGTGACAGGCATGTGCGCCAGTGCATACATTCCCCATACAGGCAAGTGTCCACAGAAGAGGCGCAGAAAAAAGCAGAGGAGCTTGGCATTGCCTTCATCGAAACCTCTGCCAAAGATGCTACCCATGTTGAGCTGGCCTTCCAAATGATGTCCGCTGAGCTAATTAAAAAGCGTGAGAAGCAAACGGCTAGACCCACCGGAGACGTCGGCTTGGGTCGTCCACGCGCTTCCAGCGCGACCTGTACATCTTGTCCCGGGAACTAGTGTCCTGTGAAAATTCGTGAAAACCTGTCTAAGCACAGACAGGTGCTTGGAAATGACGAGAAAGACTTGCATTCCAGTAGAACAGATTCGAGCGCTGCTCCGCGCCATGGTTTTCATGATGAGGTTCAGAATCTGTGTGCCAAGCAGCAGCTGGGCGAGATCTTTCAAATCCGTGTTTGCGCAGGCCCGCGTGTCTCAGCTCAGCCTGCGCCCAGGTGGCCAGCATCACCGTTGCCGTGAGCTCGCTGAACGAAGTACTGGCTCAGAAGACACCGTGTTTCTTTTTTTGGTGGGGGGGGGGGCAGGACGGGCACATAAATGATATTCAAACGTTTGCAGTATGGGCAAACAAATGCAAGCTTCAGCGCGTATTCTGCGAAGATTGATGTTTCATGAAAGACACCCAGAAAATGTGTGAAAGACACCCAGAAAATGTGTGTCCTCGAATTTTGTTTTGCAATCTTTTGCACAGATTTTTGTAAAACAAGCTGAGCAAACATTTGTCCAGTAAGATATCTTGCGTATGGAGAGCATGGATGCTTCCTGTGCAGTGCTCGTTGTTGCATGCTGTTCTTTTCCCGTGTCAACACATCTGCGCCGTTTGTTGGCTCCACGCAGGCAGACAGTGCCCAATGAACAGAAGGCATCAACTCTTTCCAAAACATGTGACAGGAAACACCGGACACTTCACAACCTGATTGTGTTAACAGATGACGCCAACTCATTAGAATCATTAGATTCATGTGTTGAGGCAGTGCCACGGATGTGCTGCTCGCAATGAGATTCATGTTGCCACGTACTTATGCAAACATTTTCCTGCTTGAGTGTGCAATTGCAAGCCTTCTTTAAAGATGAACATTAACATACGCTTTGACTCTCATGTTATCCTAGAAGTAGGCGAGATCATTCCTTGGAGTGTTTTTGCGGAGCACTTGTGAGGTCTCTTCGTTGACAATGTTGCACCATTCGCTGGAGCAACCGGATCAACGGGCTCTCCATGCTCGATTGCAACATGCGATGAAGCAGAATCAGCAGATCCACATGATGTTGAAGCAGGCTTGGGCAAACATTGTAAGAATGCGGCCTTGTGGGTTGAGGGAGGGTGCCTTGCAGTTGGACGTGCTCTGCGTTGTCTTCATTTCATGCAATTTTGTCCTTTGCTTTGTTGTGCATGGCCGCTTTTTGCCTGCAAGGACGCGCGCCTCCGCCTGTGCGCTAGCCATCGAGTGGCCACGAAGTCATGTTTAGCATGTTCCCTTCTTTGAACAGTGCTGTAAACCTCCCCGCCCTCCCTAATCATAGATACTGCCCCGATGTATCACGGCATTATACTGGGAGATACTGGGAGGTTTGGTGGGGTCCTAGCAGTGGATAATCATTGCACCGTGCAAGATGATGAAGTGCTTTGAGCCCTGTCCAGCATCCTTGCTTTGCGTGATGTATGCTGCTTTGACTACGGGAAAGCTTGCGAATTCGTCCGCATGAAGATCTCCATGTTTTTCGAGCCCTTGTTATGAAGGTTTTCAAAGACGAACTGAGCAGCTTCAAAAATCTGACATCCAGATACCCATCCCTGCGCAATCCATGTCACTCGCAGAACTCCCTCCTCTAAAGGCAAAGGGGCACATCGCCAGGATCCGTATGCTTCCTTGACGCTTTGGTCTTCAAGATCTCAGGCAGCAATTCCAGTCATGGGGTGTTTAGGGTCCAGAGCTTGAGGTTGATATGAAGTTGCACAATTGTAGGTCTCACCCTTGTTATAAGCTTCAGCCAGTACCGTAGGCTGTAGGGATTAGGGTATTGAAGGAGACGCATTGCAATATACTATAAGATATTATCATGTACTATAATATATTATAATATACTATACTATACTAACCTATACTATACTATACTATACGATAATATACTATA